GATGACTCTCAAGTCATATGACTATAGTACACCGAGTTTTAGATTCCTTTGTAGTTTTAATCACTTGAGCCACTATGAGAGAGGTAGAAGATGTATCACTTTTGCTTTTGATATTAGAATCTATTTTTCGTTTTGTTAACATCTTATGTGTAATATTTCTTTCCATTAAGCTTTCTAAACGACTTCTGTAGTGAGATTCATGCCGATCACTTCCAAGGCAGAAGACTATAGGGCACCAGGTTTTTAGATACCTTTGTAGGTTTAATCACTAGAGTTATAAAGGCTACGAAAAGAAGTAAAAGATTTATGATATTTGATTTTTTTTTCATTTAAATGATCAATGCCCATTTTAGACTCCTTAACTCAAACTCTTTCGACCAACATTGGGATCCGAAAACTCTAAACCATCACACTTTTATGAAAATAAGCACTAACCTTCCCACCGCAAGTTGATTTATAGCAGCTTGGTTTCTATATAAAGGACTTGGAAAATTTTATTCAAACTTAGGTCAATAACATCGACAATTAATTCCACTTAATTAAGTTATTCCCCAACATAAGTGATAAGTCCATATGGCTATGTGCTCAAATAATCAAATCTAACATGGATAAGTTTTCAAGTAAAAGCATAAGTTATGGTGTTGTCCAGCATCTAACTAATTATGTACTCAATTCAAACAAATAAACATCATCATAGGTGGCAAGTCGTTTAACGCTAGCTCGACACTTTTTTTTAACAGTTATACAGACTCGATCAGAGTTGAAAAATAAATATATATTGGTTCCAAGTATCATAATACCTACCCATCCCATCCCATCCCAAACTAAAATATTATATTGCCTCCAATGTAAGAGCCAAAAATAACTAAAGTAAATGAGTAAGGATCAGAAACTCATTAGAGTAGATGCGAACAAGTGGAATGATCAAGCTGGTCCAACTAGTAGATGTCATGACAACCACCATTTTTTCTTGGTGCTAGAGTTTAATTTGCTGTTTCAAGAATATAAAATAAATATTAATGATAGTATATAAGGTTTAAATATTTGCAATGAATTCACACCAAAAATTCTAATCTTCTAACTTTTAGAAAAACTATCTAACAGAGCGTACGTCAAGCTAGGAAAAGAAGAGTTTTTAAAATTCATTTGGAGATTGAAATCTTGGTGCGCAACCTTAAGAATGCATATCACATCAATGTAAGTTCAATATCATGCTAGGATGTTAACGATGAGTCCAAAAGAAAATGAATTCAATAAGTAAACATGCATAAATTATTAATGTAAGTCCTAAAGTACTACCTAAATTTTTTTAAAAATCATTAAATGCATAAGTTCTTAACCATGGTCCTAAAATCTAATGCACTTCCTAAAAATACGTGTAATGTAATATCTAATCAAAATGAGTGAAAGATGATAGAAAATGGGTTGCCTCCCATTAAGCGTTCGATTTATAGTCTAGAGCTTGACTTTTGGCACAAATATGTTATGGCACTTTGAATATAGCCTTGGAGGTCCTGCTTAGTTTGCTTAATACAATTTTTTTCCGAACTGCAACTTTCATCCAAATTTTAACCCTACCATTCTCCAAGTAGTATGACCCTCCCTCATCACCTGTTTTAAACTCGACAATGTAGACCTCAATCTCCTCATAATTTCAATTTCCCATATATGGTGGATTTGTCTCCACATGTATTGCACAAACCTTAATCTCACTGAAGTTAATGTGAGTGAATTGAGAGTGCACAATACATATGTTATAAGCGTCTGATGGATTTTGCAACTTAAAGGTGTCATGAATTACTGTGTCAACCACCTCAATCTGGAAATAGCTGTGTGACTCAGCAGGTTATTTCATCGCTTTGAACATATTGAAAGAGACTTGTTCCTCTCCTAGCTTTAGAATTAATTGACCTCACTGTACGTCTATGAAAGCTTTTCCAGTAGCCAAAAATGGTTGACCCAAAATGAGTGGTACATCCTTGTCTTCCTCCATGGAAATATGAGTTTCTCTACCTTTACCAAAACATCTTCAATGATTCATCGTGGATGAGTAAATGATCGATCAGCCATCTGTAGAGCTACCATAGTTGCCTTAAGTTTTCTCAATATTATTGTCCTGAAAATAGAAAGTGGCATCAAATTAATATTAACACCCAAATCACATAAAGCTTTTTCAAAATAGCAAGTTCCTATAGTGTAGGGTACATTAAAACTCCTTGGATCTTTTAGCTTTGAAGGTAACTTTTTCTGAATTCTAGAGTTGTATTTTACTGTCAACATTACCATTTTGTGCTCTTCTAGCTTACTTTTGTTGGATATGACGTGTTTCAAGAATTTTGTATAGTTAGGTATCTGGGTAATTGTCTCAGCCGACAGAATGTTTATGTGAAGTTTCTTGAAGATCTCCAAAAATTTGATGTACTGTCGATCCATCTTATATTTCTTCAATCTTTGAGGGAATGAAATTGGGAGCTCGTATGGAATGATAGGAGCGGTTGCTTTAGCCCATGATTTATCTGAACCCTCTTTGGTA